CGCGGTCGTCGCCAGGCCGAGCAGGAACTTGCTGATTGTCACGAACAGTTGAACGAACTGAGTGCCCAGAATGCCTCCATTTCTGGCGCCAAGAGGAAACTCGAGGCCGAATTGCAGACCCTCCACGTGAGTGTCGATTAATTTTCTACAATTTAATAAAACGTTTCTTATAAAAGGGAGTAGGATAAGTGGTTTACACAGCTTGCATTTATTTACCCATTAGTCCGACTTGGACGAGTTGCTGAACGAGGCAAAGAACTCGGAGGAGAAGGCGAAGAAGGCGATGGTGGACGCAGCCAGGTTGGCCGACGAGCTACGCGCCGAGCAGGATCATGCCCAGACTCAGGAGAAATTGCGCAAGGCCTTGGAGACGCAGATCAAGGAGTTGCAAGTGCGCTTGGACGAGGCCGAGGCGAATGCCCTCAAGGGCGGCAAGAAGGCTATTCAGAAGTTGGAACAACGCGTGCGCGAGTTGGAGAACGAGCTCGATGGCGAACAAAGGAGACATGCCGACGCCCAGAAGAACTTGCGCAAATCCGAGCGTCGCATCAAGGAGCTGAGCTTCCAGGTAGAATTCTGATTTGTTATAAATCTATTCGAATAGGAAGTTTAATCTACATATTTTGTTTTAAAAAAATAAATTAATATTTTCGCAATCAACAAGAGAAATGTTGGACATTTATCACAAGATGTTGAATCTTTTATTTTTAAATTTAATTATTTTTTATTTATTTGGTTTGATTTTATCATCGATCTGACTTACTTACCGAGCATGAAGAAGTCTCATTGAAGCGATCCCATTTCTCCTTTTCGTTTCCAGGCGGACGAGGACCGTAAGAATCACGAGCGCATGCAAGATCTGGTTGACAAGCTTCAGCAGAAGATCAAGACATATAAGAGGCAGATCGAGGAGGCGGAGGAAATTGCCGCGTTGAATCTTGCCAAGTTCCGCAAGGCGCAACAAGAACTCGAGGAAGCTGAGGAGAGGGCGGACCTCGCTGAACAGGCAATCACCAAGTTCCGCACCAAGGGACGCGGCGGAAGTGCCGCGCGTGGACTCAGCCCAGCGGTAAGCTGTTAAACCATAACAACCTTATCATCATCTTTGAATTTAATCTTTAATTCACGATGTCAAAAGTACAATGTCACTTCCGTTTCATTTTTAATTCTTCTGTTGCTTAATATCTTCTGTAAATATCGATTGACTAGAAATTTAATTTTGTAGTATTGCAGAAAAATTTTACGAAAGAAAAAACAGTAACATTGCGAATTAAAGATTAACATGGATATATATTTAGATAAAATTCAAAAAAGTATCGTTTCCAACGTTCTCAAAGTTAATTTATTCTTGATAATAAAATAATAGATATATTTATATAAATCGTCCAAAGGAATAGCCTTTAGTTAATTTGAAGTGAATTGATTTTTAAATTCAATTTTATTTAATTAATTTTACTTTATTTAATTTTATAATTTACTTTTTTTAGCTTTGATCAGAGATCAAGAAGAATTTTAATTTAACGACTTGTACTTTATTGCAAATTCGAAATATATGTAACATCTTGTCAGATTGAGAATACACGTATCCGGTAGATATCGCAATAAAAAAAAAATAAAGTTATTTTTCGTCGAGAAGATTGAAAGTTGATCACACTTCGCTTAATATCAATATTGACGGCGCGGCGAAAGATAGGCTCGGTGATTGCAAATCTCAAAGCTCGATTACGGGGTTGGGATTAAAGGGAAGCGATGTTAGGGAACAGATCGACGACGATGGTATCTAATTAGCGATCTGTGTCTTCCTGTGTGCAGCCGCAACAGAAACGTAAGGCGCCCTCCATGTTGGAGTAGACGCACACACACCGCGCTTGGTCCATGTAAGTCCGTGCACGTGGGGTGTCGTAAGCGCGTGGGGTGTGTAACAATTATTTAGAAAGAGAAGAAAATAGTTGGCTGAATAGCTAGAGAGTGAGAGAGAGAGAG